CGTCCGCTCTCGAGCGCTGTGTTCTCCCAGCTCCCTCCGATCAACCTCATGACCACTTCCGAGGGAAAGTTTCCATTAAAAATATTTACATGTCAGTTATGGATGCATTTAACTTGTGGCATTCCTCTGTTCTTTTTATGTTAGATACATTCTGATATAGCAGAAGAAAGAGGACTAAAAATTACATACAGATACACTGGAAGAGGTATCACAGAGCCACCTTTCGGTGTGTTTGTGTTTAATAAAGACACTGGAGAGTTGAACGTTACCAGCATTCTTGATCGAGAAGAAACACCATTCTTTCTGGTAAGAAGAACAGTTTTACATGTATTCGTTTGTAGTTTTCTTTAGTCATAGTTATGACTGGTTTTAGTGTTTGGCTTTTTTTTTTTGATACTATGGTAGTTTAATTACCTTAGCTTAAATCTCATCTCTTCGGTTATTTATGTCATGATTTCAGCTAATTGGTTACGCTTTGGATGAAAAAGGAAACAACCTAGAGAAACCATTAGAACTCCGCATTAAAGTTCTTGATATCAATGACAATGAGCCAGAATTCACGCAGGACGTCTTTGTTGGGTCTGTTGAAGAACTGAGTGCAGCACGTAAGAGTCTGTTATTTTTACGAATGAATCCCTAAGGTCATTTTAACCCTGTTGTGTAACTGAACACTAAATGCTGTATCTTAATGGAGGCCTAGTACTAACCACAGGACAAATAGTAGTAAACCTGTTGCTCCCAACTTGGAACTGTTTTGTGGGGTTTTTTTGGGTTTTTTTCGAGATAAGTTCTAAAGACTTTACATGGCATCTTTTTTACCCTCACAACAGGTATGGTAGATTGATGTGACATTAGGTCTCTGTAGCAACTGTTCTGCCTTGTAGCAGGAAAGCAGCCATAGACAATATGAAAACAAATGGGCATGGCTGTGTTCCAATAAAACTTTATTTACCAAAACAGGTGGCTGGCTGGTTTTGGTTCACTGGCAGTAGTTTGCTGGCCTTTTACTTATATTATTTCCACTGTCAGGTTTATCGACAACATTCAGTGCAGTGCTCTTTATGAAGACCTGCAGGAGAGATTTCTCTTTGATCATAGTGTAAAGAATAGCTGCCCTTCTCCTGAATTGTTTGTATTTCAGTAAGCATCTCTTTGTATCTGTTCATTCTTCTTGCTTTGTATTGGTCAGTAAAACAACTATAAATAAATTTGTGGCCCTCCTGTAGCAGGTGTTCAGGACTTCACCCTAAGAATTGTATGTGCTAACCTGGGCCCTGCCTTCATCTTGGTTTTCTTACTACTATACTCCATTCCCACATGTTTCCTCACCCAGTTCAGTTTTTCAGTCTTGGTAAACTGCGTTTGATAAGCACCTGAAACCCGTTTTGGAACAAGATGAAATTAAAATAATAATGTATGTGAGTGTACGTAAGGTTGAGTTTCATTTTGAACACCTTTGTTTCTAATGGCAGATACGCTTGTGATGAAAATCACCGCGACAGATGCAGACGAACCCAATACCCAGAATTCTAAAATTTCCTACAGAATCGTATCTCAGGAGCCTCCTTTCCCTCCTGTGTTCTACCTGAATAAAGATACAGGAGAGGTTTATACAACCAGTATTACCTTAGACAGAGAGGTAAGTTAATATTTTATGTTGCTCATCTTTTAAACTCTCCTTTATCCTTGCAGGTTCTCCTCTCTCTTGATTTCTAATTTTCCTACTTCGTTGTATATTCCTCATTGATAGGATAACTGTTGGAATCATCCTCTTCTAGGGATGTGCTGTCCAGCCTGGTAGCCCTTAGCTGTATGTGGCCATTGAGCACTTGACATGTGACTAGTCCAAATTGAGATACACTATAAGTATAAAATCGTCTCCAGATTGGGAAGAAAGTAAAATACAACCTGAACAATTGTTGATTACA